CCCTAGCTTATTAAACAAGAGAAATGAATTGATGGTTGCATGTAGACAAAAAAATAAATATTTGCTTAAATATGTTGATCCAAGCTAATATTTAATATAAATTATGGCTTATTTTTTAGGTAAGTTATGGTTTGTTTTTGTCTCTTTATTTTTTATAAGAAATAAAAAAGAATAAGTAATCTCCCTTTAATAATAAAAAAGTCAATATCCACAACTCTAAAATAGATTTTTTTTTATCTTTATTAAACACGCACACACACATACACACACACACACATATATATATATATATATATATATATATATATATATATATATATAAAAACTGTAATCCTAGTATAATATATACCTATGCCAACATTGCAATAACCATACCAATTCAACCAATAGTCCCATGAGCAGCATCTCAGATTTTGATGAAATTTTAGTATGTTGTATGCACTTAAGTTGTACCCCCACCTCTCACAAACTAAAAACTGAAAAATTTGGTGTCAATTTTTGCTGATTTCAAACGAGTACAATTTACCAAATTTGGCATTTCATAACTTTGCAAAGTGATATTTGGTAATACTATACACCCACCTCTCTCTCTCACTATATATATATATATATATATATATATATATATATATATATATATATATATATATATATTTCTTTCCTTCTTTAATTTTTTTTTTTTTTTTTTAAAATGTTATGGGATAATAGTTTTATTTTTTATGTAATCCATTTATATGCTCTATAATAAATATACTGAGCTCTCTTTTATGGATCAGTTTTAATATTTTATATTATTAGGATCTATTAGGTTGGTGCAAAAAATAATGTCGTTTTTTGACGTTAAGTTGAACGTCAAAAACGACATTATTTTTTGCACCAACCTAATACTTACCCACAGATTTTTATGTATATATATATATATATATATATATATATATATAATATACATACACAGATGCATTTATATCTATGACAACTAATATATAATGTGAGAGAGAAAATGTGAAAATAAGTGAATATGTGTATGAATGAGTGTTTTTTGGTGGGTGTAAGAGAGCCTCTCTGTGTGTGTGTGTGTGTGTGTGTGTGTGTGTGTGTGTGTGTGTGAGAGAGAGAGAGAGACAGAGAGAAACTGTGTAAATGAGTGTATTTTTGGTGAATGTAAGAGAGCATATGTGTTGTGTATGTGTGTGTGAGAGAGAATGTGTAAATAAGTGTGTGTATGAATGAGTGTTTTTTGGTGGGTGTATGAAGGAGCGTGTGTGTGTGTGAAAGAGAAAAAGAGTGTGCGTGTGTGTGTGAAAGAGAAAAAGAGTGTGTGTGTGTGTGTGCATGTAAGAAAGACGAAATGTGTGTGTATGTGACAGAGAGAATGTGTGAGAAAGGGAATATGTGCATGTTTGTGAGAGAGAGTGTGTGCGTATACCTGTATGAAGGAAAGAGTGTTCTGTGAGAGAGAGTGTGTGTGTGTGTGTGAGAGAGAAAGAATGTGTTGAGGGGGGGAGTGTGCATGTAAACGGATAAAACCTCATGAAAGGACATTGTTCGAGATAATCACTTATTTTGAAGAGATTGGATTGGAGAGGAAAATGGATCCAAAGCAAATAAGATGAAGGGGAGGGAAATGGATCTGCAGAGGCTATGGTGGGGGTGAGGGCAGACAGTGAGATGGACCTAAGGGCAAAGGTAATTAAGGAATTTTGAACAGACAGAGATCAATAAAAAAATACTAAAATCTTTTGTTCGTATCTTGATCTGACGGTGGCAAGAAAACTTCGTCACATCAGAAGGGATTTTTTTTTTATAGATGGCATCAGTAACAACAGGCGTTCACATTGGAATCAAAGATATTGATCCAGGATTAATATATTGTTTTAGAATCGAACCAAGTTCAGGTTAATACAGTAAAACACATTGATTGAGTAAAAAAACAAAATAGATAATTGGTGTTTCCTTTTCTGCATTTGAACTTCAAAAAATATGGCATTTTCTTGGTAGCAGTTCTTTGGAATGGAAATTCTTTGATGTGAAAATCAAAAACTAACATCTTTATCTTTCCTTGTTTTCTTCTTTCTCTACCCCTACGTTCTGATACTGCAATCACTGTTCATGACTTGTATTTTTGATTCAATGAAGCCCACAGAAGTTTTTATTTGATAACTTCTCTTTCAAAGTTGGAACGTAATCCATAGGGATCTTTTTTGAATAGTGCTTTGATCTGAACACTTCCTTACTTTCTTAAAGTATCAGAAAGAAAGGATTTGTGAACATTTGAATTTCTCGTTCTAAGACAAAATAAGACTGCCAATGTTTAAGCTTTGTGCCGCAAGAAAAAATAGCATACCAAAAGGATGTTTATTCCCTTGATACTGCTATTGCTGTACAAGGTCTGATCAAAATGGATTGAGACTGTTGCTATGGTAATAAAGCTAAAATACACAGCGTGAAGCCACTTAGTACAGATTGACCTTGAACTCTTTTGTGCAGACACACTAAGTTATAATTGCTCATTTTTATTGTTTATAACAGAGCTTTGAAGGAACGTGTGTAGAGTGTGGTCATCTTACCACACTACAGAGGTTCCATCAGTGGCCCTGGCTTATGCAGCAGTTTTTGGCCAAGGTCAACATTCCCCAGGTCTAACAACCACCATATTCTCCAGATCTTGCCCCTTGCAATATTTTCCTCTTCAAAAATCAAATTCTACTTGAAAGAAGCAAGATTTCAAAACATCAAGAACTCAAAGATGTTTGCCTCTCTCTGCTTTTTTTTATAAATACTTTATTTCATCTTCTCTGGTTCACATTTTTTCACAATACTTTATTTTCATTTTCTCTGGTTCACAAGATAATTTTTCTCTCCAGAATTTAACTTACATATCTATGCCTACCATTTACCAATACTTAGAATATTGCTGCCATATATATATATGCCGTAAAACAAACAAAACAAAAACAAAAAAATACAATTTTTGAAAATGGAAAAAGACTTTGAAAACATGAAGCAAATTCTTGATAAGGCAGAAAATCCAAAAGGTGCACAAATAATAATATCTCAGAACAAAGGGAGCATAGATAAATTTCAAAATACCAATGTAACGGGGAATTTATATATATATTTTTTCTTTTTTAAAAAAGTTCTGTGCATCAGATGTCATCTCCTTTTACAAATTCTTCTTTGGAAACAACCCAAATTCACTTCCTTCCTGGGTCTTTTACTTGCCTTCTGGATGAAAATTTGGTGTTAGTTCCACATGGTAGAAATTTAAAAGATTTGAAACCTTCTTTTGTATTAAACAGGGTCCGTCCCCTTTGTGTGAATTATCACTCTCTTTGGCCTTGAAATTTTTTTCTGCCTTGCAATCTGATTACTTTCTGTCTTTATCTGCAGCTCAGTCTCATTATATTTGAAAACTCGTGGTGCCAGAGACAGACCTTAATTTCAAAATTTATTGGGCATGCTCACACATCTCTGATTGGTCAATAAATAAAATAATACATATTTTTTCAAATTCAAAAAATGACTCAGCAACAACCCACATAGAAGAAATAATTTTGGCGGTTCGTTAATCACTAATTCTAAAAAAGAGAAATTTTCACAAACAAATGTAACAATTTTTTACAAATTGACTTTTTTATAAAAGTATGTGTGAAAGACAAACCAGATGATTATAATATTTCAGTTTTAAAGTAAAGCAAACTGACCTTTTTAGCCTTGGTTGGCAGCTAGTCTAGGTAATAAACTCTGAATTCAATGGAGAAAGCAATAGGAAAACTATTCTGCCATATTTCCCAAGTAGCAATTCATAGATAATAAAAAAAGGAAGCTATGGAGAGTCATGATCACCTATGTCCTGAATTTAAAACTTTAGAAAAGACAATGGGTAACCATTTCACTATCTTTCCCTAGAAGCGATGGTAATTCACAGATAATAAAGAAAAAGGAAGGTGTGGAGAGCCATGATCATTTTTGTTTTTTAATCATTTCACTCCAAGCAAGGCAATAAAGCTGCTAAGATGTGAGGGGGTTACTGAGTGTTAGAGAATATAAGAAAAAGAAAACACTATTAAGGAGAGAGGACAATAAAAGAACAAGAATTAAGAAGACTGAAGATAACAATTGACATTGCATTTAAATTTTAATCGTTTCTCTCCAAGCAAGGCAATAAAGCCACTAAGATGCAAGGGATTACTGAGTTTGAAAGAATATGAGAAAAAGAAAAACATTATTAAGGAGAGAGAACAATAAAAGAACAGGAATTAAGAAGACTGTAGATCATGATTGACATTGCATTTAGAGTTTTGAAGATCAAACTGGAAGAGAGTTCCACAAATGAGAAGTGCTAGAGAAGAAACTGTTAGCATAGAACTTATGGTTACATCTAACCATTTCAACTGTAAGATGCTGAGACCTTGCTGCCAATCTAGTACTGCACTTAAATTCATAAAGTATAGTTACCATAGAGGAAAGTTTATCAGAACAATTACCATGAAAATATTTATAGAAAAGGCAGAGGGAAGCTACATTACAGCAGTAGGAATGTGACTGAAGCTGAGATGCCAGGTCAGGACTGATAACATTGCAGATTCTTCTTTGCATTTTATCAAGAATCTCTAAATATATAGCAGAAGCACTGGACTATATGTGGCAGCAATATTCAAGGTATAGATGAATGGTAGACTTATAAATATGTAAGATAGATTCTGAAAATAAAAATTATCTAACAGGAATCAGTGAACTAAATTTCCTAGTAGCAGACCTAGCAATGATTAACGTTGCATTTAAATTTTGGAAGAGACATGGCATTTAAAACCCTGAAGAAGGCGATGGGTAACCACTCCACTATCTTTCACAAGAAATCATGGTAATTCAGAGATAATAAAAAAAGGAATGTGTGGAGAGCCATGATCACCTATGCCCTGAAGAGACAAGGCTTTTAAAAAATATATTAACATTTGAATTTTTTTTAACCAGGATCACTCTCTCTCTCTCAATTTCCCATGTATATATCTCTCTGCCTTTCACCTAATACTCTCTCTGCCTCTCTCAGTTTTTCCCTTGTATCTCTCTCGGTCTCTCACCTAGTTCTCTCTCTGTCTCTCTCAATTTCCCATTTGGCTTGCTTTGTCTCTCACCTGGACTTCTCTCAATTTCATTGGCTAGGTCTGTCTATCTCTCTCTGTCTTCCACCTGAATCTCTCTCTCTCTCTGTCTCCCACCTGAATATCTCTCTTTGTCTCCCACCTGTATATCTCTCTCTCTCACATAGTTTCTGCCTCTCTCAATTTCTCACCTGGCTAGCTCTGTCTCTCTCTCAATTTCTCCCTTGTATCTCTCTCTCTCTTTCTCTCTGTCTCTCACCTGGATTTCTATCATGTTCCTTGAACTATTCTTCAATTCTCTGTTTCTCCTCCCCATCTACTTCATCTTCCATTTTTGTCTCAGTCTCTATCCGGCACCCGCTTCCTCCCCACAGACCTGTCATACCACAACTTGATCTGTTTTTATCCTTCAATGCAAACATAATGAAACAGTTTTTCCTTACAAGTGCTTTTCTTTATTGCTTCTCCCTCCTCCATCACTTCACAAATATCAACCAACATTCTCATCTTTTTCTACTCGACTCTCCTGTTTTCTTACTCTCCCTCCCCTATCTCTGCATGCTATTGGTTTATGCAACAATCATGGATCCATCAAAATTCATTCTATCCACTTCATCAAACTGATCATCAAATGAAGTGCAAAAGATGGCCTAAAATATCACATGTCCCTATAGCAACAAGTGTGGGTATGAGTGTGTGTGTGTGTGTGGAGATTACAAAATGCAAGTTGCAGTCTGTTGGGATGGGTGATGGGGCATGGTTTTTAACTAAGTCTGATTTCAGTTGCTAATGTTTGATTTTAGGATTGTTGTGTCATGTAGTCTACCGGCAATTCCTTAGGACCCCAATGCTGCATCACAAACTGAATGAACACTGGACACTTTTTTCTAGGTTTCTTTTTACTCACTTTATTTCAGTGGTAGGGGACATAACAAGAGTAGGAGTGTTTCTTGGAGGAAGTGAGAGATATTTAAAAAAGAACAAATCTCAACAGGCAAGCCAGCTCGTTGCCATCACCATGTAATGATCTGTTTCATTAAGCTGAAGCCACAGCATGCCAAAGAATCTGGGAGTAGAAAGTGTCATTACTCTTTTATTGCTGCCAATGTATTGACAGACTTTGCATATTTTTCAGTCTTATATTAAATCTTTAAAATGATCACTGTCAGGATTACATGCCTTTGGGGTTCAAACTACCTCCACTCAATTTGGGTCATCAGAGTTCTGACCAGTATGGTAGGGTTTGCCATTTTGGGCTAGCCAATGTATTATGTAATGGGACAAATTGAATCTGATTTCTTTGTGGTTAAAGAATTTGACTAAAACATTAAATTTTTGTTAGGACATAGGAAAATTTTGTTAGAAACCAAGATTACCAAATTATTACATAAAATCCTTCTCTATGTCAGTGAATGCTGAACAGTCTTACCTCAGATGAAGAAAGAGACTTGAAGCAAAAGAAATGTGGTTCTACAGAAGGATGCTGAGAATACCCCAGACCGAATACATGACCAATGATAAAGTTTTAGAGAAAATGAAAACAAAAAGGACACTTATACTTAACCCTTTGCCTGTCCACGGCATTTTCGTGTGTACTATCCAAACATTCATGCTTGTTTCTATATTTATAACTATTTGTTGTATCCTTAAAGAAGACAAAGGTGGTACTCGAGTGAAGGAATAGCAACACAGGCGTAGATGAAAGAAAGAGAGGTTTATTGTAAAAGAGAATACACTACTGAAAGACAGGGAATCGGTTAGCAGGCTAATAATTCCTGAAGCAAGGTTATTTACCTTACCACCCTGCGAGGCAGGATGTGTCACAAGGCTGTTTTTTAATGCGGGGTCAAAACTAAGCCTGTAGGCTTGGGCAAAAATTCCCTGTAGACCCCAATTACATGGGGTCAAGTAGCTGCCTACCACCCCAGACAAGACTCTGCCGATCAGCATAGCCCCGTCTGGGTTCCTCTCTGCCTGAAGGCAGAGAGTTTGACCAGCACAGCTGGAGACAAATCTCCAACTAATTGCTGAAGCAAGGATATTTGCTAACTGCCCCACGCAGTCAGATGTGGCACAAGGCCAAATTTAACATGGGGCAACTGAGCCCATAGGCTCAGGCAAAAATTCCCTGTAGACCCCGTAAAAATGGGGTTGGGTAGCTGTCTACCACCCCAGATGAGACTCTGCCCTTCAGCATAGCCTCGTCTGGGTTCCTCTCCGCCCGAAGGCAGAGTTCGACGAGCTTAGTTGGAGACAAATCTCTAACTAATTGCTGAAGCAAGCCCCTAGGTAGATCCAGAGATATAGATATGTAATATAATTGGCCCTGATCTGGCATCTCGTCTACAGTCACTCTCTCACAGACGCGCCGTCGCTTCTCTCTGTCTTTTCTACAAATACTTTCATGGTAATTGCTCCGATGAGCTGCTTTCACTTGTTCCCAGGCTCCATGAATTCAAGCACCCTACGAGGCTGGCATCCTGCTCCCACCCTTACACTGTAGAAACTTTTAAATGTAGCCGTCTCTTCTACTCCAATAGCTTCATACCTCACACCTCTCGCCTGTGGAACACCCTTCCCAATTACTGTTTCCCTGAGAGCTATAATCTCCAACTATTCAAATGTAATGTCAATCCACATCTCCAGTTACCTTGATCTATCCACTATCCCTCTCCTCATCCTTTCTTCTATCACTCCTATCTGCTCTTGCTCGAAATCTTCTGCAACCCCCTGCATCCTAGTGGCTTAACGCCTTGCTCGGGGTGTAATGCTTATAAAAAAAAAATATCCTAATATAGTGTTACAAAGGACAGGAAATTGTGGAGAGCCATGATCGCCAATGTCCTGAAGTGATGTGGCACAAAGAAGAAGAATGCTTTTTCGGTGACTGAAGATTTGGACTATGTAATATCAATCCTCCCAATGAATGCTGGACAATTTCCTCATAGATTAAGAGGAGACTTGAGGTGATAGAGAAGTTGTTCTACAGAAGGATGCTGAGAATACTGTGGATGGAACAAGTGAGTTTTAAGGAAAATGGGAAAAAAAAGTTCATTTAGAATCAGAAAAAAACAGTTGAAATTTCTGTGATGCATAATGAGGAAAGAGGTCCTGGAGAATTTGATACCCACAAGACAAAGCAAGGAAGACAATGAGAAACATTGAGTAACCTCCCTAACAAACTTGTTTAGGGCATTTCGATGTGGTGTAATGGTCAGCAAGCTTGTCTCGCTAGAACAATTACATCAGAGTAGTGGGTTCAATCCTCACTAAGTACCACATAATTTCAGCCTTGTGCCACATCTAAGCTGTGCTTAGAAATTCACCTAACAAACTTGTTTAAATGGATAGAGTGAGGAGGACAGTAAAAAATAAATAAATAAATATTACTAACAGTTACAAGGGAAAGGAAGTTGTGGGGAGCCATGATCATTCACATCCTGGAGCAACATGGCACATAAAAGAATAACCTACCTTATCAAAAAACAAAAACAGAGACGAAAGAGTTGTACATGACCGGGTCAGGATTGTTCGATTTAAATCATTTCTTTTTCTGTTGTCATTTTTATAGAAATTTCTTTCGATGACTGGATTTTATCTTTAACCTTATTTCAGCTTATACACTTTTCTTGTTACCCTGTTGTTATCAGATGAAAAGGGAAATTAGACCTTCAAACATAATGTCCATATTTCATTCAAACTGTGTGTATCAGGCTTGGTTCAATTCAATTTAAACCAGATTGATTTAAATCATTGATTTAAATAAACAATTTTTTTTTGTTAAATCAGTGATTATTAAATCAATTTTACAAAAATCTTTATTTAAAGCAAAAGATTTAGAAATAAGGCAAACTTTTTAGTTTTCATGTAATTTCACGAAGGAAGAAAAGTGCTAAACATTGAATCAAATATTTATTCATCAACTGAATAAGATTTTTTTTTTTAACTATAAAATAAAAATTTTAACCTTTTTAACAAATTTTAAAATTCAATATGAGCGGCGTTTGCATTCATGGATTTAAATAAAGACTGTCGTAATTTCTCGAAAATAATACATATTTTTTTACAGTAAATTACAGGCAATACTAGGGGTGCCTATTATAAATAGGTTTAAACAAAAATATTTTTTTTCATTATTGGTTTATAATAATAAATACATACTTGTTCTAAAATAAAAGATTCATTTTAAATCCAACAATAATAATTGTCACATTTTTGTCAATAAATTTATGCTTATCAGTAACAGCATTTTTTATTTGGTGAAAAAATCATAAATCAATAAAAAGGCCAATTTCGAAGAAAAGAGGATATCAAGTTAACAATTTATTGAAATTTTAATTTTCATCATCACCACTTTCTATTTATAGAATCAATATCTAAATTAACATTAAACAAATTATCATACACTCACACGTTTTGACAAGATTTTGGCGGTAAAATAAAATGTTATATTTATTGGGAAAAACCACATAGTAATTTTCAACATTATTTTTATCTGCTTAGTTTCAATTTTATCTTTAATGTCAAGGTCGACAAAATGTCTTCGTAATTATTTTTTGTTTTTGTTTTTTTGTCTTTTTTTTTTTTTTGACGAAAATTATAGATGCGTATTATACATAGGGATAGATATATTTCTTAATTTCTGAATCATTTGTTGGGGTGCATATTATTTTCAAGAAATTATGGTAGTTTTGCTTCTTTATCTATACCAAAATGATTTCTGATGTGAGGCCAAAGTTGGGACCACAGAGGGAAAACACGGATTAGATGTAAGAAAGATCTATTAACAACAGGTTACAGAGATAGTGTAAGCAGACTTTACTATATGTTAGTGTCCAATACTGGTAGTCGTACGCAGCTCTCATTGTCTCTGTCTCTATGTGTCTGACTCTCACTGGAGTGTTGTGTCGCATACTTAATATAGTCCTGGAAGAGTTTATGCTGTAGGTAGTTCCGGTCTCACAATACCCCCCTTCCAAGAGTTTTCTTTTTGAAAAGGAGAGAAAAAAATAAAACTGTTAATACTTTTTCCTCTTGGGATTTACGTCGAGCGGTTGAGTAAATTTCCTTTTCCTTCCTGAGCATCGCACTTCAGGAGAGACTTGGGGCGTATCAAGATCGAAGTGATCGAAAATTACATCGATCGACTCTTCACAGCTATTTTGTAGTGATTCCTCAGATTCCTTCAAACAGCATTTTCTGAGCTGGTTCCAATGGCGTTTGTGAGTGTTTTCGGTCCTTGGACAATATAGACCAGTTCACCAATTCTTTGTTTTATGGTGCCTACTTCCCAGAATGTTATGTTGTTTTTGTAAGCCTTGAAAAAGACTTTATCGCCAGGATTGAAATATTTCTTATGAGGCGATACAGTTTTTTTAAACTTTGCTTACCGTGGAATAAGTTTGTCGTAGATAAACTTGATTTTCCTTGCGAACATTGTTTCTGCAGGCGAGCTTCCCATAGGTGTGTTCGGATTAGGGGTTATCCGATACACCTGCAGAAACTGTTGCAATGTTCTATCTGTCGGTGTGCCTAGTGCCTTTTTTAAAGCCCTTTTTAGAGTGTCCACGAACCTTTCGGCCTGGCCATTCGACCTAGGGTGGTACTGAGGCATTGTAATGTGG